TTGCATAATTCTGTTTAACCAATATAAACAAATGTGAACTTACTAAAAGATAAAAATTTGGTATTCTTTATTAAAATTAAGTAAAAATTTAATTGAAAATTTGAACTGGTTTATTATGTTTTAATCAAATTCATATGAAGCAAAAGCAACAGCAATTAATAATTCTACCTAATATTTGAAATAGAATTAACATTCCTCATATTCACATTCAAAATTGTCTCTAAATTATTGCAGTAAAAGATTAATGAAACATTAAGATGCATTTTACAACTAATTAAAAACGATGACAAACTTTACTTTTTACTTTTTTAAAAGTATTTTCAAATGTTTTTTTGTTCAAATAACTTTGCGTTTTTCTCCACTAAAATTCGCCTTTTTAACAAGCATTTTTGACAAGTCAATATCTTTTTTTTGTGTTTGTTACAAGAAAATTCAACTTACTGTTCACAAGTTGATATTGCTTACGCTATTATTTCATTATTATTGTACATGTAAATATTCTATTCAGTTAGCCATCTATTCATTTTTATGCACAATGTGTTACAAATGTAAACATAAAGTATTTAAAAAAACTAAATAAATAAATAATTTATTATTACTTTTTGTTCTGAGTGTTTGTTGAAAGTGTTAAAATAGCAATAAATGAACTGACATGTGATTTAAGTCATAAGTAAAATTAAGAGTATTCAACCGATGCTTGCAGATAAAAGAAGATTTATTCTTGAGTTGCTAGTAATTATTTATTTACTTACGCTTATTTATTTATTTGCCTTTTTTCCTATTTGTTTATTACCAGCAATACTTTATATATAAAATAAAAACCACTGACAACTTAATCCTACATTTTAATGAACACAACAAGCAACCTTATATCATTTTATTCAGCAAATAAATAATAACATATGATTTCAATAACTTGTTTTTAATTATTCATTAAATTGCGTGAAAAATAGACTACCACATTTAGAAAGCTATAGCACTCATCGCATAAAAAATTGAAAGGCAATGCAAGTCAAGGGTTGCTTCAAGTTCACTACCTTTTATGCTTATCAAGACGTTGATAAGCAAATTTTTAAATTTTTACTATTAATATTAAAATACTGTTTTATACGCTGAGAAAATATACGGATCCAAATGATATGATCGAATCACATATTAATATAATCCCGATAAAATGTTACACTTACATGAGTCACTGCTTCTCTTTATTAAATACTAAATTAATCATTTTATTTTATTTAAAATGCAATGACACTAGCATTCTCAAAATTTCTCGATTACATATTTATCAACTTTGCGAAGTACTGATCACTTGAAGACTGTAGTTGTAGAAGATTACACTACAAATTTATATTTAAATTCAAAACAATTCTACAATATAAACATCTTTTCGGGTCACGTATTTATGAAAAATTGGCACTATTCCCTACTGATGATTTCCTTTCATCAATTTACTTTCATAATGTAAGAAAAACAATTATCTTTCGCATTGCTGATCTTAATTCCTGTAAAATAAATTGTCTTGCGTTTAAAAAAGATTATTGGAGTAACTATAAATTGCAGTAAGCTTTTCATCACATTTATTTCATTCCTTTACTTAGTTATTGCAAAGCTTTTTGATTTTGTCTTTTTCCTCGATTCATCATTGACTTTATTCATTTTTATGCATCAAGATATCGTATCTATCCTTACATATATTCTGATTAATAATTTTAACCATTTAAGAAATGCACAATGATTTTTGATACCATCTTTTAAAAAAATTATCCAATTTAAAAAAGCACAAAACACAAGCTAAATTTGAGAATAGTAAAATAAATGTTTGAACACTTTTGTTGATTGTGCCCAAATAAATTAAAAAGAATATTTTCTTTAATTCAGTTATAAGTGAAAATGAATATTCCTAAAGTTCACTAACTACTGATCAATTCGTGATCATTGCACAAAATCTGTGCATGAAAAAGTATACAGTAGTACAGTCTGAATTTTATAGAGACATGAATTGACTGAAATTAATGTAACGGAAACTCCTAATGAGAAAACAGGAAATCGAAGAAGAAAAAAGCTTAAATTTATTTCTAAAAAATATTAATATATTAAAATTTAAATTCACCTAAATGATGTACAATATCTTTATGCAGCCGTTATCCATTTAGAGTCCACTTTATTATAACTTTCACTTGAGCTTCATTATACAAAAAGTGAACAATGTACCAGCTGTAAATGCAATCATAACAAACTGTTAAACTTCCAGATTTTGCAACAAGAGAATTTTTTCAGTATAATTCACTAATTTTTAATAGGAATTGTGTAATAAACAGAGAGAGCATTTATCAAGTTTAGCATGCTCTTTAGAATTTTACACAATAAGCACATTGCTTACAAATATACTTTTCAACCTTAATATACGGATTATATATCTAAAACTGCTCAACAGTGACTTACGCAAATAATTTCACAAGTCACTGTGAAATTTGAAGGCGTTGTTGTGACTGTTATTTCATTTTCTACTTTATTTAAATTCAGCTACGATACATTATTGCATGCCAACCTTCCGAAACAAACAACGCTTTTTTTAAATAAATTCTGAATTTCTGAACTTTACGTTGAAAATAGAAGTGCTGAAAAGTGAAAAATGCGCAACAAATAGATTGACACATCTACCAAATAAAGCAATGCAAAATTGTATTGACTTAATTTTGCAAAAATTAATTCAACCCACAAATTACAATATTACAAGTTTTAAGTGTCAAAAATTTGTAGCACATTCCCTAGAATTTAACCCAGTGCTAATTTGAGATTAAATAAGCAACATCCAGAGTAGTACTTTAGAAGCTATTAGAATTACATTATTTTGATCTGTAGTGTGAAATACGAAAATCAAACAATAATTAATAATTTTATCTCATCCCATGGTATCAAGTAAAAATGATTCAAAGAGCTATCTGGAAAGCTGCTTAATTAAAATAACGATAAAAATAGTGAAAATCAATCCTGTGAAGCTAGAAGTGCTTGACAGAAAGTAAAGTATGGTCTTCCCTGAACAAACTTGAAATGTATGAATTTAAATATCAGTCAATGCTAATGAAAGGTACTCTCACGTCTCCTTTCCTTAAAAGATTACTAAATCAATGGTGCTTGACACGCATAATACAATTTGCACAGAACTATAAACTTCATGTTTCCTTTAACTTCATTCAACGAATATTTTTTACAAAATAATGATAAGAGGTTTGAAAACAATCTCATGCACTCATAAGCACCTAATACATATCACGATTATTCATAACGCTTATTTAAGTGATCAAATATGTCCATACAGAAGACACAAAATTCAGAGATGTTTGGGCAGAAACTTCAGTCACTGTCCACATTTATTGTTACCACAGAGAAAAATTCAACTTTGTCCTTCACTCACGATGAAGCATATCCAGCTTTGCCTTCCATTTACAGTAAAGAATAAAAATGGAACCAGATTTGTCATAGGTCCAACAGTGCTCCAAATTTTTATGAAATAATCCGACTACGTCAATATCTAGAAAAGTCATTAATATAAACCATTCTCTAAGAAGCCAAAATCAAGCCCAAACAACGCCAACACGTTACTTACACAAAGAATGAGCTATCCCAATGAAGATAACCCGTTCCATGTATGCATCGTATTCCTGAATAATAAAAAAGCTTCCTCACTAATCAGAAAAAAATCTGGCATCTTGCAACACCATGTAGTCCCCCCTTTTTCTTCTTACATTACTTGAACTGTCCTTTCGATCAAAAGTTAAAATCCTACCCATTCCACATAATTCTGAACAACTAGTTCTGCTCTACTGCATTTATTTTCCACACTCTCCACATAAACTATGAAAATTAAGCAGTAAACGACTCCAAGACCTCTTCAAATGAAAATAAATTTTAAAACCACAACGAACAAAAGATGAAACATACAACCACTATATATCAAATTTCCGCTGAACTTGCTTTATCAGTACTAGAAGCTTTTTCTGTCTCTAGAGGACAATTGATTCACAAGTATCACAACAAAATAATGAAGTACTTTCGCTATTCATCAAACAGAAAAAGCTTGAACAATTAAAAAATTGAATGAATGAAAACGATTTTCAAACGTTTTACCATAATAGAAACTTGACAATAAAAAACTCAACGTCAACCATTCTCAAACAACACATGGCTTAAACAACACAACAATATCTTTGTGCACTTGGACAGACAGGATAAAAAAAAAGAAATTCCTGTAGAACTTGCAAAAATTCAAACTTCTACGCTTCAAACGACTCAAGTCAGAAGATCACGAAGCTGCAAAGAAAAACAGTTACTCGAAAACCATCCAAACTGAAAAAATCATCTCTGTGCACTAGGACAAGCCAAAACAACGAAAATTAAAAAATCATCGCTAGTCTAAAAATACAAACTTTAGGACTCCCTAGGCAACAATAAACTCATACAGTTGCAACTAGTTATCACTGAAAATGATGAAGCCGTAAAGGATGTAGGAAAAATGTTGTGTCCCTCTTCTCAAAATAAAGTTGGTAGCACCCTGCTAAACATAAAATATTTGAGACTGATACATAGAGAAAGGAATTACGATAAGAAAACTTAAAAGTTAGTTAAATCTTACAATGACCAAGTAAAACTTGAAAAACTTGTAAAGTCTGTCTATACCAAACCAACCCACACTTCCCACTATACAATAATCCAACTAGTAAAGGATAAAATTTCGCTATATTTTTAAACTACAAAGTTTATCAGCTATTTAAATAAGGTATTGTCATGCCCAGCTTGAAAGGAATGTTAATATCCTAGTTTAAGAAATCTTTTCTACGATTAAAATTGAAAACACTAAATAAAAGGCCAATGTAAGATATATTTTCACTATGGAAAAAAGGCAGAGTAAAAAATCCGAAGATACATCCCAACTCTCGCAATATAATGTGTGATCCAGAAAAACCCGCCTTATTAAGAAACTTGATAACCAACTGCTTTTATGTTTCTTCGATATTTTTTTCTTTATCACTAAGTGCATGTGGTATTTCTTGCTTGCCTCCTTCACTTTTAGCTTGACCACCTTCATTGGCTTTATGTTTGAGGGCATCAACTTTTGTCGGAGCATTGCTTTCATTTTTTTTATCCACTTTCGATTTCTTCTTAGATTTTCTATGCTTCAAAGAGCTATTCAGCAAAGATAAAATCTGAAAGACTCCATAATGACATTATAATTTGTTTGACAAGAAAAAAATACCTACCCATATTCTTAACCTTTTAGAACGACAAATTTGCAAAATGCCTTTATGAAATCTCCATAAATGGAGATTGTAAAACACAATACTAAAAACAAAATGGCATTAAAAGGAAATTACAATTCAAACTGACCACTTGATCTTCGATTTTGATCTCGCTTTCTAAGAGATTGAGTTCAAGAGGAAAACCAGTGATCTTCACTAACCCATTAGGCATGATTAAAACAGTAGATTTGAACTGCGCTACAAACTCACCTTCCCGTTCATAAAGAACCTAAACACAGATGACTTACTATAATCGACTCAGAAGTCACTAATAATAATAATAAAACGAAAAAGTATTTATAGTAAAATAACCTGATATGGGCGCATTAAATTATGCCGTTCACACTCCAAAACACCCAGTTTGGCCAATTTTTCATCTTCAAATGATCGCAATGTAAATGGCATCAAACCATATTTGTTAACTGCTGCCGTTAAGAACATTCTGAACCGAGGGATAAAAAGTATTAAGGTAGAAGAAATCGACAAGTTTGAGAACCTCACAAAATGACAGAAATTGCAATTTTTGGAATTAAAGACATTTAGAAAACCTTAACGTATACATTATAAAACTGATCACATGATGCATTAATAAACTTATGACTTACCTTGATGCCTTCACTTTAAGCGAATAAGCGAGATCCTCAACCTTTTTATAAACTGTCGTCCTAGCATCCAAGACACGAGTTTTACCTCAAGATGCAGACAATAACACATCGTTTCAAAAGTCGTAAATTCAGCGTTTATCGTTTTAGGAATTATCAGACCATGTGAAGCGAGATATTAAAGATCATTACAAATATAGTAACGCAATGTAAAAAATGTTATAATATAGAAGAACTAATGCATACCTTCACCAGTACTCATCAAAATATCAATTGCAAACACTTCAAACTTTTGAAAAACACATTTAGTAACTTCAGAACGTTGCCTTTCACCAGGATTTTGGATTATTTGCTTTTTCCCATCGATTTTATTCTTTCGCAACTCATGAGAAAGCATATTTTCAACTGGTTTTACCTAAAAGCGTTTCTTTACTGACAAGAGAAGATTACTAGGTAAAATAAGAAATTGCGTTATTTTCTCTTATAAAAAGGAGGTTGATGCAACTTATTATTAAACAAATAAATGTATTGTTACCGGAATTTCCACTATCACTGGTACAATCACAAACCTGATAAATATTTGCGATTTTATCGATCATATCAGTTATTTCCATGTTTTTATATAACCCGGGACGAAGCATTCGAATTGCAGCTTCCAGCGCATGATATGCAGCCAGCATAACATTAGCCTTCTTACCAGACACTTTATTATTCTGAAAAAATCTCACCGTTATATAAGAGCCCTTTTTAAGTGCAGTCAATATATATCTTCACTAACAGATATAGTTTTCATCAACCATCAATTTCTACTGTATAAAGAACCAATAAAGCACAGTTCAAAAAAAAACTTTTTCTTTTGATGTCTCATCAAAACTTATGCAAATAAAACGTTACATAATGATAACAAATACAGCAATTTTTCGAAAAACATTGCATGTAGTTCAGTAAGGACAAAAATGCACCTCTGATGCGCCAACAACGATCGTATGAGCTGCAGTAGCAATATAACCATCAATGTGAGCTCCGAGGTCGACTTTCACCATTTGCCCATTAGTGATGATAACCGGTGTGTCACTCCGTAAAGGAGAAAAATGGCAGACACAATTGTTGATCGAAACGCAAGTTGGCATAGCAATACCTTTAAACCGATATTACGCGGACCCTTACTCGATATAATTACAATTACACTGTCTTACAGTGATGAAATTAAGGAAATATACAAACGGATGGTCAATAGAAAAAGTGAACTAATCAGACAAACTCCAAGTGAAACATATGAAATTTTCACATCAAAGTAAGAATTATCATCAAATGACTTGCAGATTAATCTTTATATCCAGAAAAACAAAATATAACTGCACTGCAGAAAAAAAGGTTCCCAAATGGCTTTCTGCAATTACAAAGGACTGAAAATGTACAAAACAAAATAATGAACCTTTCAAAGAATCCTTTTCTTTCTTAAAAACTTTACCCATCCGTTCATTCATTAAATTGTCGCCAAGATCACAAATTTTGCCAACTTCGACACCATCCTTTATAGCAGCGAGCACTTCCTGTAATGATTTTTGACGGTAATAAGTCCTACAATTTAGACATAAACTTAAAACCTACATAACATTTTTTTCAAGCATAAAAGTTACCATGAAATGTTTGCTATACATTATTGACCAACAGCAATAACTATCCAGTTATAAACATTTCCTGACAATATTATTTTCTTTACATCTTTAACGCTGACAATATTATTAATATAAACAATGACCCACTTTCAGTACAGCATTAACGATATATGCAGCCATCGCATATTTTGTAGCCACTACATTACTTGCAGGAGTTTCCAAATAAGCATCATCTTCACTACTTTCGCTGCTTCGACTGACGCGTCTTCCTCTTTCAGCCATGTCTTGTCTTCAAACTGTTAGAAGATAAATTTGCCAAATACTGTTACAGAGCATCATAATATGTGCTACTGGGTTATTACTTTAAATAGAAACTATAAATTACATTGAATAACAAAAACTTGCAAACACGAGAAGCTCATGAATGCTTTTCTTTCTTAAATTTTTTACAAAAACTCATAATTTCTTCTTTTTTTACGAATTGTTTACTACCTATTCTAATAACTATCTCTTGTCTTATAAATACTAACTTTGGCTTATCTCATACTTGATACACTCATTATCTGATACTGTCTTACAGCTCATTTAGTACTATCATTATTACATTTTATCAAGTACCTTATTTGATCTACAAAACTTGTAAATATAATCAAGAATATATAAGGAGCAAAAAAAAAAGTAATTATAAATAGAAGAATTAATTCTTATAGCAATATCGATTAGTACGCGAAATGCACAGTAACAGAGCCTCTACGAAGACAACATTTTACTTCACAACTATCTTCTAAGCAATAAAAATGAATGAATCATTAAAACAAATAAAAAAATAGCATTGCGAGGAACTATTCTTTGCCAGTATTCTTTTTAACACTCTTCAATTATAGAATTTCCGAACATATTTGTGAAGAATTTCCAGACAATATGTCTGAAAATTTTGTGTAGCATGTGTTACTTCGTGCATTATTCCAGACAACTGTTTACAAACTTTAAAATTGAAGAAATGACTAGTGAAAGCATCTTAAATCAGAAGTGTAGTCACCTCCAAGAGATTACGACACGAATCAGAATGGACGATATATCAAACTTGATCTCTTTTTTATCCTACATAGCACCCTAACAAATAAGTCTCTAATAAAGAATAAAAATCTGGCACTTTTCCAATTACAGTTTACAAACAGTCGTTATAGGGTGAAAAGGAAGTTGTTACAATATTGTATCATTTTTACATATTAAGCAATAATTAATTTGAGCTGTAGTTGAAGTTTGTCTTCTGGTTTATTAATTAGAGGTTGTACAAAAATATGCATTAGCAGTGAATTCCTTACGAGATTGAAAAATTTGTCCACAGTATCAGATAAATCAAAGTTGATCTATTAATTACGAACTTCCAATCCATATTTATTGATAAATAGATATGAATTAAAAGTCTGTTATTATAGACGTCAAGAAAATTGATGATTTGGAAATCGAAACAACATATAGAAGAAAATAAACAGTCAGTGCAATTTAGTAGTTAGCAAGAAAACAGTCTTGGCACGTTGTCAACTGCATTTAGGACAGATCAATTGTTGTTTTGAATTTGACTCCAATACTTTTGTGATTTGAGACAGGAGGAATGAAAAAAAAAGTGATTTTAATGCCTTAAATCTAATTTTAGAAAATGTCTGTTTTCAGAAGTATTAAATATCAACTGCTATATTATTTAATACATTGTTATGATGTTTAGACTGAGATGATGAGCTGAGCATGAGCTGCAGCAAAGTATCATTTCGTTTTTCGGTACAGAAAAATCATCAACGAACGTTAAGGTTGTCTTTTAATTAATTTATTGATTTTATGAAATTTGACTTTCATGTTGTTCTGAATTCGATTCTAATGTTTTTATGGTCTGATATGTTTTTCTGAATTTTTAAGGTTATTGACAAACTTCTCTTTGGAGTATGATGTTTTATTCCGATTTATTTGCACTTATTGTATTATCAGTAGTTGGTGGAAGCATTTATCCGTTTATTCGCGATAGTTATGTTTCAAAGTATGCAACATTTACATCTGATGAGTTGCTAGAAGCGAAGAAAACAGCACGAGATATGTTTTACTTTGCATATGAAAACTACATTCAACATGCTTTTCCAAAAGACGAGTTAGATCCTATTAATTGCACAGGCCGAGGGCACGACCATCTTCATCCGTAAATTTTGAAAATTCATGTCATCTCTGATTTTAACTCAGATGTTCAAAAAATAAAGGAATAAAAGCCGCTTTTGTTTAAGAATTTAGTAATTGTGTAGCCTCATTTTGTTGTAAAGCAATTGTTTTCTCGAAAAAAATTGCTTTCTTTTTCGATTATTATTTTCTAAATTTTTTTTGCAACACCTGTTGCTAAATAGGTCTTTGTTTTCTCAGGTCGAATCTCAATATTAACGATGTACTTGGCGACTACTCACTTTCTTTGGTATATTTTCGATTGTTGTCAGTTTCGAAAGTTTGAATCACTATTTCCTTTATTTGTGAGAAATCTATCCATTCTTATAAATTATAGATAGAGTCCTTGGATACTCTAGTTGTGTTTGAAAATCGAACTGAATTCCATAATGCTATACGTTTGGTGATCAATAACGTTTCATTTGAACGGAATGTTACTGTTCAAGTATTTGAAGCTACTATAAGGTGAGTATAGATTTGAAGTTTTGCAGAAACCAAATTTTTATGGTTATGGCATATGTTACATGTTCAGAATAGATATTAGTTTGGTAATCTCTAAAAATATAATTTCATTTTGAGTGTTGTTAATGATTTCCTTAATTTTTGTTACAAGTTTTAAAAGAGCCCACCTTTTGCAGTATGAGAAAAGATTTGTGGAATCCTTCTGTATATTTCTTTAACTTAAGTTTAAAACTGGTTTGTTATACGCTATTAGTTTCATATTATCATTTCGTTGTAATAATGCAGGGTCATTGGTTCCCTTTTGTCAGCTCATTTAATTCTTACGGATGAGTCACATATGCTAGGTAATTACACCTTAAGCGAATACAATGGAGAATTGCTCACAATGGCACATGATTTAGCCACTCGACTTTTGCCAGCTTTTGATGACACTAAGACTGGTATAGGCTTTATTTTACAGTATTGGTTTCAAAATTTTTCATTATTTCAGTCGTTATCAACTTCTAGATTTATATGTGTATTCCAGGACTACCTTTTCCGCGAGTAAATTTGCAAAATGGTGTGAAAGAAGGAACTGTTAATGAAAATTGCCCTGCTGGAGCTGGGAGTTTGTTGTTAGAATTTTCAGTTCTCTCGCGCCTTCTTGGTGATAGCACATATGAAAGTTTAGCCAGAAAAACCAATCAAAAATTGTGGT